GCATTCTATTGATATTTGATTGGTCATCGTAAGTTTTCCATATATTATCTTACCTCAGACCTTTATCTTCCATACATCGTCTTTGTGATAGTATCGTATCTGGATCCGTATTACTGAGTAACCACTGTACGACGTTCTCATATGACGAACTGTCTATGTACGCCCATTGGAAGGATTCTGATTTCTTGATTAATGCCTGCATAGCCGTGTTCTGTAGAAATACCATACATGATTTACGAAAAACTTGGAAATAATGTAAAATGTTTTTATTTTGTGATTTTTGTGAATTTATTCAGTCTGCACATTTTGTAGCAGTGACTATACTACAGTTCTTCCATCCTCATCAGAGGAGTCCATTTATTCACAGAGACTGTGTATTTGATATCGTTTAGATTTTTTGGGTACGCCTGGAAAACATGCATTCGATCAAAGGTGACATAATTATGACAAAAGACATATGGATGATTTGTGATATCTTGCTGAGAAAAAAATATCTCTGTTTCTCGTTTTCGCGCGCATCATTTTGAACTATGCGCCTCGGGCATTTTTTCCTTCGAAAGCATTCCAAAATGCGCTTGTACTCACACTTGTCTAAAATTTCCCCTGTTTTAGCTCAGTATTCAAAAAAAAAAAAAAAAATCACCTCGTCGCCTCATTTTAAAATTTCTATGAAACGAGAAACAGAGAATTTTTTTTCCTGGGCTTAATTAATATGTTTGTAACACTGCAGGCTCTTACAAAGTTCATGGATGACACATACCGTCAACGACTCAAGTTTAACAACTAAAGTTTGATGGGATTTTCAGTGTCTAATGTAAACGAAGGAAAGCGTTTGTGTGTAACATTAATAATCGGGAACACGTTCATCGTTGGTGGTGCAATTTACTCTAAATAAAAGAAATTTTGAATAAGTTTTGCATGACTGTACTGTTTCAATGTGATATTGTATGAATAGACCATTTTCCGTTCACTGCAAGAATCACGCGTTATGCGTGAAATCGAACGTAAAAACAGGACAAACAAAGGTCATAGCATCATGGTGGTGTCAAACATCGTGTGGGATTCAACAAACGCGAAAATATATTGGGGGCATTTCCATGCTTAATAATGTGCTGTACACATTTGATGATAGACAATTTCGATTAAGTGAGGGTATTCAAAAGCAATATTCCTCTGTCGAAGATCGGCCGGTCGATGTGAGCTACGAAATAAAGAAATTCAAGTTCAAAATCTAATCGTTCATTTTTTGTGGCAGACGTTTGATGCACGTCTTTCATGCAACTCGCGAGATCTCGCAGTTGAACGGAAAATCACCTATTCCAAATATATCGCTCGTAGGTCTGGATACATCACCAACTACATTACCCATAACTAGATAGCACATTATATACTTACAGTCGTAATGATCGTCTTTTCTCTTGAAAACATGATGAGTAAAAGCAACAAACAGACGTGTAATTTGGTCGCTATATCAGGCGATACGTTCCTCATGTAATGCTGAGTGATTTCAACCCAATTCATCTGAGAAAACATACTACCCAGGAAGATAAAACAACTTGTAGGACTTCCATCTTGAAGCTATAAGAAAATATATAGTTTGACTGATAAATATTTTATCGTGAATTTTTATCGTTTTTATTATTTATTATTTTAATTTTTTAGAATTTTTATTGTAAGTGGGTGGACTATCAGCAGTCACAGCATTTATTCAAATCAACCATAGACATGCACATTTCTTATTCTTCAATATCCAATCATAATTGTGTATGATTTGTGTATTAGCCAATCACATTAAAAGGTTACTAGAGACTGGCCAATCACATTAAAAGGTTACTAGAGACTGGCCAATCACAAAGGCAAGATGAATGAAATGAATCTGACTCTGTAATGAATGACATGAAACTGACTAATTAGAGGCTAGTGACAATAACTGAAGAAATAGAGTAGAAAATGCCTAGTGAAAAAAAACAAGTAAAGGACAGCTTTAGAACCTACCAATCATAAGGCCAGGTGTTCAGAAACTGACCAATCACAGAGATCAGAGATTTATAATTGACCAATCACATAGATCAGAGACATAAAACCAACCAATCAATAAGCACACCTTTTGAAACTGATTGCATCACAGGTATAGGTAATTTGAAACTAACCAATCAGAAAGATAGGTGATCTAAAACTGACCATTCACAGACAAGTTGGTATTCAAACTAACCAATCACCAAGTTCATATGCTAATTACCTTCAACATGAGTTCCACAGCATCCAGTCTTGGATAGAAACTATTCCAGGGTAAAGCCACAAACCTGGCATGGCATACACGTAGTACGTGTTCTACTATACCCTTGTGAGATAACACATTGACATAGTAAGGCCAGAACAGACTTAGTGCATCATGGCTATAGTGCGGAAGAACATCTGTAAATCAAAAACAGATAAATAAACAAACAAATAAATAAATAATTACTTTTGAACTGTACTTGATGGCACTGAGTCGACTAAAAAATATAATTTTTGATATTGACCTTAGTAGAGGTCAATATTGTGTGATAATTACCTTGGAACTGTAATTTAAGAAAATGAATCAACTCAAAAAAAAATTCACGATATTGACCTTAGTAGAGGCCAATATTGTGTGATAATTACCTTGGAACAGTAATTTAAGACACTGAATCAACTC